TATATATATATACGGTATATGGGGTGTGATGCTCCCTAGGCGCTAAACAATGGCAGTGGATTTAACCATTTAACAGTGGTTAAATGCAGAGAGTGAATTTCCCCATTGTGGGACAATATATATACATATATAGGAAATGAGGCAGGCATCCAGGAGTACTCCTCCAAATGCCCTACAACAGTCAATTCACAGTAGTTACCACACATGGGACATTAGAAGGTGTATGAACTCATCAGTGATTTAGATGATAAATATTGGGGTTTGTAGGAGATTTACTGTATGAGGCATTATGAAAATATTTTATTAATTACACCAATTAATATTTATAACTTTCTCTGAAACAAATACATCAAAATGCATTATGTTGTTTCTGTTTAACTTATTAGAGTGAATCTCAGACATGGAGAAAGAAACATGTTTCAAAATCCCAGTACTCTTTTAGTCATTGATGAATCTTTGTTTCCATGCTGATGATTTTGGTTGTGTAGGACATTAAGTGACAAAGCCAGTGGCTCTAATGTACCTTCTTGGGTTCTCAAAAAGCATCTAGAGTTAATTATGCATATTTTCTCTTGTTAAACTCATGCGGACAGACATACTTAGTGGATATATTTTCCTTCCCTGTGTTGCAAATATTCATTCCTCCCCTGTTTCCAGGCTGTCCACTTTTCTACCTAACCTTTCTGCATCAGTGACCAGCAGGGGGCAGGCTGCCTCTCTCATCTAAATGTCAAAGGCTTTCTGCCTCAGACCGTTGCAGCTTAAATAGGAGACCTTTTTAAGTTGTGTAAGAGTTTGTTTTTTCCCCCTAAGTAGACCTATTTGTCATGTCATGGGTTTTGGTTTTGAATGGCATCTAAACAGCTTTGCTACGCAGTGAGCTCTTGTTTCCCGCTCAACCAAGCAGAAAGCTGAAGTTAGTTTACTGTTTGAGTGATTAATGGGTAAATCACCATCAGTGCTTCTTTTTTTTTTAAATGATTGAGCAATGATGCGTCTCCCAAAAGGGTTCCTACATTCTGGAAAGGGCTGGAGTTTAAACGCACCCCTTGGTCAGCATGATAGAGAAAATGAATCGCCGATCCATACCTGCCTCCATGTATCCGAAACCTAACCCATCCCTCCATGTCTGAGCATCCTTCCCTCACATCATTCCTCCATCCATCTGTCTATCCCTCCTTCCATATGCCTCTTTCTTCGTCCATCTCTCCACCCGTTCATGCATCACTGCATCACCTAGATGTCTATCAACACTGTAAATCCACAGTGAATTATTCCAATCTCACTTTTATTAGATATTGTCTCTGAAATATCTGATGTCTACAGAAATTTCCTAGAGGAAAAGGAAGAATTTTGACGTGACAGTTGTGCAGAAACCTTTTTGCCAGAGAGCTTATTTCATTTGATCCCAAATGATCTTCATACCTATTTTCTTTTTTTAATCGTTGTCTTCCTCCCACAGGCAAACTGGTGGCAATTGCGGTCATCGACGAGAAGGACCCCACTGAGCAGAGCGGCAGGTAGAGAAGGCTGAAATTAAAAAGCACTGCCCTGTATAAACAAATAGCTCACCACACTTTCGACAATAGATGCATTTGGGTGTGTGGCTTTCAAATAAAGATAAGACTGGCTGTTATTGTTTGGAGCTTCCCACAAATTGCAGCCGGCGGCTAAAAATAAATAAAATGTATATATATATATATATATATATAAAAAAAAGGGATGGGCTCTGACTTATGTGGCTTTTCACTCTCTTCTCATTTACTTTTAGATTAAAGACCTTGATGCAGCGGGTGGCGAAGGAATACAGAGAACAGTTTAACAGGTGAGGCACGAAGACACGCTGAGGTCAGAGATGAAAATCCAATTTATACGTTTATTTCAGGACGGCGTACTCACTGGGGAAATGCTGCCAGTCTACTCACAAGCAAGTTTATGCTGTTGTCAGGGCACGTCTGTTTTCCTTTTCTTTTTTTCTTTGTGTAGCGGTTCAGTAGAAAGGTAATTATGTGAAATGTCAGCTTCCAAATATAGGTGTTCTTTTCAGCTGTCAATCACAGCTGCAGCTCAGCTTTTATTAATGCATAATTCTCTGTTTTTCTGCACGATAACAACTCCGTACCGGGGTGTTTATGGTGCGCGCTGCGCCGCTCGACCTGTTCTCATGTTGGAGAGCTCCTCTGTAACAAGGCAAATAAAAACAAAGCTATGTGTAATTTCAGGACGAGCTATTTTTGCTCCAAGATGAGGAGGAATAAAAAAAAGAAGCAGTTTTTTTTTTTTAAACTGAGGGTTTAAAAGTCAGAGAGTTTGCTGAATGTGTGCAGTGGGTAAATTTAAAGCGCTGCTGGTGGGTGACCTTTTAGCTGAAGGATTTTAGTTAAAGAAGGAATGTGCTGTGCTGAAGTGGCTTCTTCGTTTGAATAAAGATGTCCTCCTTAAACAGCCGTGATCAAAGCATTTCTCCCTCTCCAGGCATTCCCATTAGTGCTGATTGAATTACTCAGATCCCTATCATCAATTATACCACTATCTGCCACACTACCTAGTGGTGTTTTTTCGTTTTCTGAAGACATCTGACTTTCACCCCACTGAGATCAGAGTCGCCTGCAGGGTTCTGACACACCTAAACAGAGCTTGTAATTACATGTTTCTGGCTGCGTTGTCGCCCCCGCTGGTAGTTGGAGGAAGTACACAGAGCGGAGAGATCACAGGAGAAGCTGACATTCGAATAAGCCAATGCCTTTGATCCAGTGTTGTGGTATTCCACTCACTCCACCACTTGTGGCATTCGTAGGCAAGCAGGGGAACTCTGGTTCTCGTCAGCATCTGGGCATTTATGTGCTGGCATCAGCACATGTTGCTTTGTTTTGGCTTTGATCTGCCAGTTGTTGCTAAAAATAATAGCTTTATCACAAAGAGACCTCTGAGCCATAATTTATATCCATAAAGGACTTTGCAATCCAAAAACTCCCTTTATAGACTATGAGACTCCTGGCAAACTCATTTCTGGGGCCAGTATATCTTTTTACACTTTTATAATGTTAAAATTATACAAGAACATGCATTTATTTCGAGACCTCTATCACATTGTTTTGCTTTAAGGCCCCATAACTACACAATGCTGGTTTCTCAGTTCAGTCTAACTGCTCTTAATTAGCTGTTTTTAGTAGAAAACAAAAAAACAAAAAACATTTAAAGTCTAGCCTGAAACAGCAAATAAAGGACCATAGATGGGAAGGAGTTTTTCAAAAGGACTTACAAGTATTATTGGCCTTGGATGGAATTTGAATGTTGTCCAAGTTTTATCTAATTACAGATTACCTGCTGTAAATCAATATAGAAATTAGAAAATCTGTCTGATATCAACCCAAAAAACCAATACCAGATTAGGTTTGATCTCGCTTATAGAAGCACTACACATCAGCATTCCACTCCCATCATTTAGTCCACCCCAGCATTTCTATCCAGCCGATCCTTTGTCTTGCAAACAGAGCCAACGGCTGTTTCTCAATTCACAAGAAAGTGAGTATGGACTTGTGTTCTCACCAAGTACGTTCTTGACAAGAACACAGGCAAGTAGGATTCGGGGAGAACAGGAGCACACAGCATAAATATGGATAAATAGGAACAGAAGCTTACTCGTGACATCACCACATTCAAAGCTCGTCTGGAGCTGCATTTCACCTCATGTTATTAATAGTCTCTAGATAATATTAAATTCTTACTTCTTTGATTTAGTGAGGAAATAACACAGTCAGATAAACAAATCAAATGAATATTTTGCCAAATAAAACAAAGAAGACACCATAGCCAGCGGTACTTCCTGCATGGCTATGCTGAGAGAGGGCTGCTGCAGACGGGCTAAAATGAGCCCTGGCTGCGGTTAGCCTCGGAGGTCCGCTGGTTGCCTCGGCCATCGGAACTTTTTAAAATGATGTACTAAATCAGTAAACGGGCCATATAGTGAGGCTTAGAAGTATAATGTTCTCGTATTAAATGATCTTAAAACATACTTTTATAGAACAAAGGCAACAAAAAAGTTAATTTTTAACTTAATTGCTCCATTGGAAGCTGCTGCGGTGCATGCTGGGACAGCTGTCTATCTGGAGTATGGACAAGTCTGCTCTGATGCATGCTCCATAAAGAGGAAGGGGCGAGAACAACATCCGGGGACTTTTTCCGTTCTTAGTCTTGAGTTCTTGTGAATTGGAACAGTACTAGGACTGATGCTGATGATGTTTTACGAGCACATGAGAACGCACAAGTACACACATTGAGAAACGGCTAATATGATCACATCAACAGTTTCACTCACATATTAGCACATGCTACGCTATGGAAGTAGGAGCAATGTCGGCAGTATGGCAAACCTTTTTATTTAAGTACAAAAATAAACTCAAATGCTTTACCAATGTAAAGTTATGTAAAGGTTTTGCATCCTCTAATTTATTTAAATATTTCATTTGTAAAATGATTTTATTTTTAAGTTTGGATTGATCAATGGATTAAATCTAGAGGGATGGTTGTGCGATTAATTATGTGGTTAAAATGGACTGGATCAGAGGACAAATTAATTAGTATATATAGATTGGCATAGATGGATGGATGTGTTGCTAAATGGATAGTTGATCAATAAATGGATCAACAGACATGGACAGATGGATGTATATATTGAACATTTTTAAATGATCTAAAAAAAACACTTAGCAGAAACAAAGGCTAAAAGAAATGATAGATGAGAACTACGACATTCAGAAAACTGAACAAGGAGTAACGTTGACATATGGAAATTCCTTGCCTCATCCATACAGTGTAGGAAGCCCAGCTTTATCAGAATCCTAATGATGTTATTAAGATTAACAAACAGTCACACAGCTTCATTTACCAATCAATTGTTTTGTGTGTTTTTTTTACCAATCTGAAATGGCAGCATTAAGGCGAAGGTTTTAATGTTAGTAAATATTTAATGATAAACTAAAGGCTGTCCTGAAAATCGTACATGGTTTATTTTAGCTCGAGCATCAGTTCTGTTTTATATAGATTAAAATAAGCTAAACCAAAAACAGATTTTTCAATTCTTACTATACTTATAAGCCTCCTCCTCCAAATGCTCCTCAGTGCCCCTTTGTTTGATTCACAGTGTGCAATAGCGAAGTAATGAAGCGCCCCTGTTCTTTCAAATAGCTCTCCAGCATGGAGAAATCACAGGCATGACGTGTAACATGACAGCCTTTGTTTTCCAGCATTGCTTGTTCCACCGTGCTGCTTCTCTGCACAGTTGTTGATGTGGCTCAGTAACACAGGTGGAACAGCACAACCGCCCCATTACATCTAACTGGGAGCAGCCGCATGCTGTGGGTTTCAGTGTGTCCTCAACACATTCGGTTTGGTTCAGGTTGTTCAAATCTCCAAAGAGGATAATTTGATGGCACTCTATAGGTGAAGTTCAAAAATCTAGGTGTCCTATATCTATAGATTCTAATTTAGTTCAGCTCAGATTTTTCTTTTTTTTTTCAGCATTAGAACTACATTATTAAAAAAATAAACCTCTGTCTCAAAGATTATTCCAACAAGGACTGAACTATTCTGCTGATTAGTCTCTCCAACACACCTTCTAATCTGTTGCGTATTTTTAATTCTTATTTTTCCCCCTAAATATCCTTAAACCTTTGTTTGATCTTGTTCTCCTTATATAAGACCTGATATTATTTAAAGCCCCATCCTTGAAGCCCTGGTTTCCATGCATTAACCAGCCACATTGGAATTTGAAGCTATGTCTGCTGAGGAACCTCCAGTTTTTTAAATTTAGAAATCCACCTCACTTGACCTTCTAGCTCAGACTGCTAACAAGTGGTTCAAATTGCACGACTCTAAAGTTGTCGGTTGATTTTCCAAACCTAAGAAGACCCCACATTTAAAAGGAGATCTTAGATATAACCGGTTTGGTCCTACAGTTTGTGTACCGCCACTTGGCAAGCACAACACATAATGAGCTGGTATCATTCAGAAAGATTAAAATGTCAGCATTATTTTTCCTCTGGAAACACTTTCTGATTGGCTACTAGTCCCATTCAACAGGCTTGGTCTTTGTCTGTGCTTAGAGGAGATTGCATGCATTAGGATATCTGCCCAAGACAATCCAACATGTTGGATTTCCCTGATATGCGGTCGGAGAAGACCCCTCATGCTGATCAGTCAAAAGCACTCCTGACACATCACACAAGGAGCATTACCTTATAAGTTTACCTTAATAGCCATCGTGATAACCAGGGCCTCTCTGAAGAGGAAGATTGGGCTAAAATTGGCTCGATAATTGAACCAAGCTTCACTTGAAATGGAACAGAGCACAAAAAAGTATTTTAGAAGGAGATACTGTAATTTGTATCATTTTCCTTTTTTCTTTTAATTTTAGATCTTAAACTGCCAGGCTGGCACGGGTTAAGTGTGGGAGTGTTTTATTGAATATCCAAGGCTCTAGACTTGTTTTTATATTCAAACTCGACTGGAAATATTCCTTGTCTTCAGCTTCATGGAAACATGTTGTTTTTCTAACAGCCAAAGACGTGTCTAAGGGGAGATGGTGATGTGTTAAGAACAAATCTGCAAACAAATGAATAAGTGGCAAACTTCTAATGAAACAGTAAAAATAAAAAGTTATTTCCCTTTCATGTCAAATGTTTCATCGCTGTATTTTCTTTTCCCGTCACTCTTGGAGACGGAGATAATTTCCCACCTAATTCGGATCCATATCTCGCCTGGCTGCAGTTTCCAGAGCAGGCTTTTACTTATGATGAGTTTTATTCCCAGTCTGGTTTACTATTGTCAGTACGATCGCCTCAAACATTGACTGAGGGATTTTTTTCTTTTATTGCCTCCACAAAATGTATTCCACTGTTGGGTCTAATAATCTTGCCATTCATATAAGTGCATGCGGTTTCTGCTTAGAGCCCAGGGGACGATCGTCCTGTATGTCGCAATGATTCGAAATGAATATAATGTATATGTGCAGGCCGCATAATCAGTCATTCGGGCGAAGTCGCCAGCTTCTCTGGTCCTGTATAGCCCCCACCTCACCCCTTCCTTCGTCTGCTCAGACATAGTGCAGCACAATGAGCTACAAATTGAATTCCTCCTCCTTCCTTATCATTTAGATAAATAACCCAAGTCTTTTCTGCGGCGAAGGGAATGAGGAGAAGCAGGGGGACTGCACAGGATGGAGCTTTGGGGATACTTTCATTTTTTTTTATTCCCTCCCTGACAAAAGCGTTCTCTTGTTTCCAGCAGCAGAAGCATTATATTACTTTTAAGCAAGTTTTCTATTTGTGTGATATCGTGCATTGACAACGCTGCCCTGGTTTGTGCTAATAATATACAGCCCGCAGAGACAGGAGATAGAAGTTCTTGTTATACTTTCGTTTTTTCCTTTTGCTCATGATGATTTGTTTTTTTTTTTAATGTCTCTGATGTTTCTTGCATCTCCAGAGATTTCCAGTTTGGCCACATGGATGGGAACGACTACATTAACAGCCTCATTATGGGGTGAGTGTCTCATTTCTGTCCTCATTCTCACTTCTCCTGTCAGCGTCCTCTCTTTCAGCCTCACGTTACCTTCTGTCAGCCACTTATCCAGGTCTGCAGCGGCTTGTAATGCCGGCCTTTGCCATTAAGGGTGCTCTCTGGAGGGGAAGTCAGTTACACAGAAGTGCTGTCATCTTTACTTCCACTGCTTTTGGCATCTTTAACCATCTGTCATCAGTCACCAGTGCTCAAAGGAAAATCCTCACAAAAGATGCAGACACTGCTGCAGATCTGCATATAAGAGGGCAGTGTGGTGTGAAGATCTAAGGAATAACATCAAAAGCTTCAGTGCTTTACACAGGGAGAAAATTATAGCTGGTTTTGTTTTTTTAACAAAAGAAAATCCGATATATATTGTTTACTTCCTCACCGAGCTGCCTCCAATGTGGTAACCCAAAAAAAATGCACTGAATTGCTAAATAAGAATCATTTCGTCTGTAATTTAATCTCAATATTAGTACAGCTGTTCTGTGCCACCCTGATTTATGAGACTTGATTAGCAAGCAAACTGTATGGTAAGGGCCAAGGTATTCTGCAGAATGTTCAGGAAAGATGTGTGAAGAAGGTTACTGCAGGATCTAAAATAAATATAAAATGTTAGAATGGTTAAACAATCATTAAATCTACCCAGATAAATATATCCAACTAATGGTGCATTTACACTGAACGCAAAGTCTGCCTTTTGCATGATATACCTATGCAAAGCATGTGGGCAATAGCGGGAAAGTGGCCATTGGTGAGAGCCATTAGTGACCGCTAGAGATGAAAAATCAGAACGTTTCTGTGAAATTACGTCCCGGCAACCACTCAAACTGGTTTTGACATAGTTTGATGGATAAAATGCAGAGATCAGAGCAGCGAAGATGAAGCCTTTTGAGGCAAAATAGAATATAGCGAAAATGCATTGACGAAGGACTAAAAATAATCGTCATTACGATGCATCGCGATTCTAATTTTTGTGATCTACTGCATCGATTCTTGAAGGCAAGAATCAATTATAAAAAAAAAAAAAAATAGAACAAATAAAATCCATTAATGGTTGGCGCACATCAGCCAAATCAAGTGGAATACAACTTCCAGTCCAGCAGATGTCGCTGCGTATGTGTTGACGCCTGCTGCTTTGTGTCACAAGCATGTCCGGCCACGGGATACTGAGACGAGTCATTTGTAAACAAAATATGGAGGAGACTGAGAAAATTCGCCCCCCCGGCTCAATCACATTTCAAGTCAGATGCTTGGATGCATTCTGGCTTTAAAAACAAAGGTAAAAATGAAATTGATATGATGCATGTAATTTGCAAAAGGACCACTGAGGCCATGTAAATGTACTGATTATCCTTATTTTGTTATTTCAAGTTTTATGAATCTTTTTGTCAATGTGTCCACACCAGTAATAGTAATATTTGTGTCCAGTATTTGTTTTCATGGCAACACCTCCAAAAGTAATTTCAATAAATAAAGCTATGTGTGAATTCAGTTGCTTTCAGTTATGAATCAATTGAAGACACTCTCCAGATCATACCCAGCCAGTCAGCCACTGGTAATGGCTGTATCTTTTTCTTACAGTGTTCAGTGAAAATATTGCGATGCATCGCAATATTTCAAGTATCGTGATTCATTGTGATAGAATCGCATCGTGGCATGGGAATCGTGATTCAAATCGAATCATGACTTCTTTGCCAATACCCACCCCTAGTGTGAATGCATGGGCCGAGTAATTAGAGAATTAATGAGAGGCAGCTTAGTTACTTATAGTAACTCTGGAGGAGCTCTAGAAATCCACAGCTCTGGTTAAATAACCTTTCAACAGAAGTTATTCATTTGCTTCAGAAATCTGTACTTTATGGCAAAGTGGCAAGAAGAAGGCAACTGGTTAAAAAAGACAANAGCAGTTTTATTTCCAGTCTCTAAGACTTTGGGGTGTTAGGGGGAAAGCATGTGAAAAAGCCTCTGTTCTAGTGAGGACGTAATGTATTTATTTTTGGTCCTACATAGGCGACGTAGGGAAGAAAACTAAAATGGTCAAACATGGTTGTCATTGTCACGCTTCAAGGGAGGTTTTTCTTTAGAAGGAACAGAATATGATTGTAGCTAAAGCCAGCATGATCATGGGTTGGGTTGATGATTCTCCTCCTTGAAGGAGTGTAACCCTTAACAAATATTCAGAGCTGCAATGACATATTTTAGGTTACAGACAATCAGGCGTTTACTCAGTTCTTCTGAAAAGCTTTGGACCATTTTCCAGGAGACTTTAGCCCCATTTACACTACCCTTTTGAAACCCTGCCAAGAATGGTCCGAGCACGGTTACTGAGATAACTCTTGAGTGTAAATGGAACGCAACTGAACTGGGCTGTTCCAGACACAACCAAACAGCGCTAAATCTAGTACTAGTTCAACAGTAGGGCTCGCCACAGTTCAGTTGTGCCTTGCTTCTCTGATAACAAAAGAGTGCATGGGCGACACCGTATCTTCTATTCACAGTCAGATCACTCCATTTACGGGTTTTCCGGCGTGTCTGGCTTTGCAATTCACAGATCTCTTCACCTGTTCACAACATGAACTTCAGGCTATTAACAATAAATGGCATCAAAAGAGCGTGGTGCAACCTGGGATGATGCAGAGACTCAGGCTGTCTTTCAAATTTTGGCGGAGGGCGCTAAGATTTAAAAACGCTAAAATTTAAAAATGTCGGGCACCGACATTTCCATTTGCATAATTGCCACCTTGCGAGCTGTATTATCGTGGACTGCCGATAGGAGGCAAGGAACCGTGCTAGTGTGGTGTGTAAATGGTCGGAAGAACCAAGCTTGGCACGGATCGGTTTCAGAGGGGTAGCATAAATTGGGCAATTTGGCACTACAGGAGCCTGTAGTTGGAGTGCATACAAAACAAGACTGAGCCAGTTTACTTTAAAGTTATAGTGGAGGAGGATTTTCGCCAATTTTTGAAAAGACCCAAGAGAGAATGCCTGTTAAACACGTGCGAGAGCATGCACAAGCCCATTTCTTCTCGTGCACACTCTGTTTAAAAGTTGCTGTTTGCATCACTCATACAAGCTTACTTTCCAAAAGAAGATTAGCAATTTTTCCACTATAGACCCACCACCAGTAGTTGAAAATTCAGACAAGCACGTAGGACGGCCTTACGTAAACATACTGAATCACGAGAATGTTGACATTTAAGAGGACCACTTATTTAGATGACCCAGAAAAAGAACATCCTCCAATATACCTTTAAATGTGCTTAGAAGGATGCTTTCCCAGGTGCTTAAAATATTAGTGCTCCAACAGCTTGGTCTAGTGTGAGCCATTAGAACTGACGCACTCATCAGATGTAGAAACATGTTTTGAAAAACTGACCAAAAGTCCTGTTTTTTTTGTTTCCACAACGCGCATGACTGAGAATTTTCACAAGCATTTAGGTCCAAGCTTATTTGTGTTTTAAATATTTTCAGCCATTGAGCCATTTTGCACATAAGAGTTAATCTAGTTTTATAGTTTTAAGTGACAGATTCCCAAAGCTTTGCTTGGTCTGCCAGTAATTTAGGGGTATCTGAGTAGAGGGGCTGAAAACAAATGAAAACCACTCTTAAATGGAAAAGATAATAAAGCAATCTGCTCCTATGTCACATTAACATGTCTTGTAAAATCCAAGTAGATAATATTGAATTATTTGGTTGTAACGTGTCAATTAGAAAAAGTTCAAGGGTTATGAACGGGTGGATTACATCTATGGTGCTTTTAATATTTTTGTCAGAGAGCAGCACTAACGAAGGAAGATTCGGCTGTAGCGCCCTTGTACCCGCTCTGAGGGCCGACTGTTAGGGTGTTGTGCTGTGAGAGATCCTCCATCTGACATGGCACACTTTTTAATTAGACCCAACCCCACATGTGTTACAGACCAGCAGAGCTGCGGCGGTCGCTTGTCTGTTTTGTGTCAAGTAACTTCTAGTGCCTCGTTATGTGTTTTCTGTTTAATTTAGTGTGAGAGTCTGAATGCGTAATGGGCCTGCTGCAGGATGTTGTTTTAATTTGAGCATGTTATTGTTTGTCGGAGAGAGATTATGGCAGCTATGCTCTCCTAAGTCCTGTGTAATTAACTCAACTAGTCAATGAACACAGGCGACTGGAGATTCAATGTGACCAGATTCAACCGAAAGTGTCCCGGCACCCCTAAAATTAAACAGGAAGTGAGTATATTTAGGGATAAAAGGAGTGATTAGCGTTTCTAGTTTTGTATGGGAACATGCAGCATGCACAATGCTGGGATCGTGACTCTGGATTTGGCTTATGCTCTGCAGGATTAATTGCCCTCTTTTGAGGAATAAAATCCTGGCCTGTCAACCAATCCTCCCCCCCTAGGAGAGTCATAGAAATAAACCTGATTGCTTTTTATCCCCTTTCCTGTCATCACTGAGATCACCGTCTGGCAGCAGTCTGTCTCTCACTAAAGGCGACCGCAGCTTTCATCAGGGGCCCCGAAAACACATCCAGGAATCCACAGTTATATACGATGAGCACCATTCAGAGTCTTCAGGGCATCTTTGGGTTTGTTTAATATAAGATTATTGCCAACACCTTTAACAGGCAGTGAAAAACTAAAGATGTGAGAACTCCCTGTGTGGGAAGAAGACTTTTTATCAGAGAATATGAGTCATTAGAGGGAGAGGAAGAACTTTAAATCAGTCTGTGAAATAGATGCGGTTCCGATTGAATGCAGTTAGTGATTGCTGGTGTCGGGGTTGTGGGGGTTTGATTAACAAACTCGTTACTTGCACATCCCCATTTTTGATTCATAAAGACGACACGCAAAGTGGGGAATCACGGCCACCGAATAGAAATGAATATATAACTTTGTAACCGTGCAAATACCTGGCTGCATGTGTGCATAGTTTTAAATGATCATCTGTCTCCATCGTCTGCATCTCATACCCCCCAATCAGATACCTTCATGTCCTCTGAATGTAGTTGGTGAAAGAGAAGATTTAGACAAGATCAGTAGGACTCATGGTATAAAGGCATCAGTCAGGATGGGATACAAAAATGTCCGCACTATTTCTTTTTTTCCACACCATGGTATAGGGTTGGGATACATCGATAATCTGAGAAAATATTGGGCAGAGGTGAAATCATAAGAACTGGACTCTTTTCTAAATGGTTAGAAAAGGCTAAATAAAAACTAATCAGGATGACTGGTAAGAGTTTATAGCAACAATAGAAAGATATTCAGCTTTTTTGTGACCAAAAAGACATTTTTTTTTTCCTGCATAGAAAACACCCAGACTTAAAAAAAAAAATGTAAGTTTTGGGCAACATTCCCAAAAACATTTTTTTATCACAAAGAGAGTATCTCTAAATCGGGTTGGATTAAGTTATGAACCGCTTCAAATGCTAGTTAGTTCTGCTCTTTATAGTTGTTCTTTAAAAAGAGGGTTGTTATTTTTCAGCAAAGCAGTGAATCTAATGGATTCAAATCAACATTATAGTTTCCCGACAGGAGAATTAGGGTCTTGGTAGCACCTGGCACTAAGGCTGAATCAGTTTAATCGGTTATTGAAATAATTAACTAATTTAGTGATTGATTAATCTTAACGAAGTGTAGAGACTCTAAAACATACCTTTAGCTGACAGAGGAAACCACTCAGTAGAATAATTGTACTGACATTTTAAGAAAAATAAAAACATTTTTCTGCATTAAAATTCTTCATCCAAAGCTCCTCAGGTGGAATAGTCTTAGTTTCACCTGGTTGGAATTCTGTAAAAAATCTTTTGCTATCTGATTATTAATCGTTTAATCAAAAAAATAGTCGACAGATTTATCAGTTGGCAAGTTTCGGCTCTACCCGTCACTAGAACAAAAATTGTCAGAGCTTCTCTTGGTGACTGGAAAAGGTCTTTGTCCTTTAAATCTGGTATGATCTGGAAAGTTGTTCCAAACTGTGGCCCACTGATGTATTTCAGTGAAGGAAGATTTGATGTTAGCTTCAAGCAGTTGTCTAAATAAAGGCAGTGACTCTTTGGTAACCAGACTCATTGACTTCTTTCTTTAGTTGTATTTAGTTCTGTTTTCACTGGAATTTTCCAGTACAGGCATCCTATTAAATGTGGGTGGATAAAAAGTTGTAAAATGATTAATAATGGTGTTGCTGTTTAAGGGCCACCATAGTATGAGGCAGTCATTTTTGTTTGCATTAGAAAACAGTGATTTCACTCCGCTAGATAGCATGTCCCTTCATCATTGCAGCGAACCCCCTGTAGTCCCACTTAGAGGCATAAAGGCTAATCCATATTTAGTATAAATGAGGGCCATCTGTTGGAGTAGGGTGTGTGTGTGTGTGTGTGTGTGTGTGTGTGTGTGTGTGGCTGCAGCTCTCAGCTGGACAGAGCAGTGCAGTGTTGATGAATCCACCACACGGGCGTGTGTGTTTGCACTCTGGATCTCAGCTGGGTGGTGGATTGGGACATTGATGGATATGTGTGCAATTTGTTGCTGGGTTGAGTAACACCGCAGGGATGTGAGGAGGCAGCACAGCGATTGGACTGTTTGTGTGCCTCAGTGTGTGCGCGTCTAAGCAGCGGCATACCTTATCTAAGCCGGGCTTTGGTGCTGCACAAAATGTGTGGAAAAGGGATTAGTTGCTTTATGACCTTATTCCTTATCTCACAAGGATTTCTAATTCTTTTGCCGATTTGTGGAGATTAGGTAGCTCAGGAGTGTAAAGTGAAGGTTACTGTTTGAGTCTTCTGCTAAACTAAAGATGAGTGGACCACTGGGCCCAGTGTAGAGGCAGAGGGGCTTCCCTTAAGACGCCCAGTGATTTACTTCCAACTGTTTTTTCAACAGTTGGTTCTAGTATAAGACTGCGTGTGGCGTTGGAGCCAGTCGAAGCTGTTTTTAAGGTCAGAACCTGGTAGCTTTTCTACTGCTGTGAAGCTAACACCAATCAGGCTATTGTCACTAGAAACGTAATCATGTTATTTGAATTCTTTGATATGTTGAAGCATAGTATCACTTTTTTATCTTTCTATATTACTAAACAGAAAGAATATAACTTCTTTGAGATAATTCTACTCTTTTTTTTTTTTTTTACATTTTACTTTTTATTGGTATTTTTCACTTTTTTACAAATACAGTGTAAATGAACAATATACATTGAACTCAACGTAACATAGAGCTTTCACTTGGGAGCTATTCAATTCTACTCTTTTTGCACTGTTTTTACTGCTTTGTCATTATAGAAATTAGAAAACAGGATATGCATCCAAAGGCTTAACTAGAGGGAATACCTTCTTTTTTATTGTTTTAAAGAAAATCAGTTTATGTAAATGCTCCATTTGAAGGAAGATGATCAGAAAAAATATGTACAAAATGTCATCAACATTAATACAGTCTTAAAAATATGTAAAAAAAAAAAAATCCAAAGGTGTCATAAAATACTGCTGCTGTTGCACAGATGAGTCCCTGCTTTTATTAGTTTGGGAATCTCCACACCTTGATGTCCTTTTCTAAATCATAAAATGTTTCCATTAATTAATAGTGGTGTCCATTTAACTCCAGAGATCGCTTATTAATGAACTAAAATGGGTTCTATACAATGGTGTTGAGTGCTGTGAAATGAAGTGGAGGTGATCCAGCATCCGTTTCTGATCTATTTATGTCTTTTTCAGACTTTTTTATGGGGGTTGCCTTGTGGTTGGCGACCCTTAACCCCAGTACAGTCCCCTGAAGTAGTGTGGCAGCACACTGCTTCCTAATGGATGGGTTAAAGTTAGCCACTGATTTCTATAATTGGAGCTTTTAGTTGGAAAAGAAAAGCCTCCAGAAATACTGGAGTAATGGGGTATTTATAAGACAAGTGTTGAACCTTGAATATTATTTAATGTTTCCTTATATAAAGCTTGAGTAATAAAGCTTAAAAAGCCTGTGAGTTTCTGCCTTTTTTCTTTTCAAAACATAGGAAACAGGATTGTGTTCTTTATTAGAAGTCCTCCCTTTGAAAGAAAGCCCGTGGGAAAAGTTAGGTTGCTCTCAGTACAAAGACTTTGTTTGTCACACCGCTGTATTATCTGTTTTCCAATTTGTTCTATAAGATAACTTCATTATGTTCCCATCCAACCATTTACATTGATAACAGCACACAGTGGCGCTGAGGTGAACAAGATTAAATACCGTATTCTATTGTTGTTATTTTCCTCAGGGAAGTGACAGTGCCCACCGTTATCATCCTTAACACATCCAACGAGCAGTACTTCTTGCCCGGCGAGCCGATTGAGAGCGTGGAGCAGCTGGTCCAATTCATCAGCAGCGTTCTGAACGGCTCTGCACAGGTTAAAACCTACACCTCCTTTCTCCGTCTCCCTCCCCTGCTTTCTGTTTGCGCTTTCAGCCCAGAATAGCCCGTCCGCCCTCTTCCCCTCATCTTGTACAATTGTAATCACCTCAGTGGTTCTCATTAATCAGGCATGTTGTCTTGCATTTTAAGTCTTAAGAAAAAATGCACATGGAAATAAATTGAAATCTCCTTTAACATGTTTAGATTTCACATTTCTGTCCCCTTTTAAGAGATTATTTACTTGTGCTTTAAATCAAACAGTCAGATTATTACATAGATTTATAATCATAACCTATTTCATGTTGCTTTCCTGTAGTCCCCAGATGTATGAAACCATAAGCCAAACATTCAGAGGTTCTCTATTTTTTTTTTCTTGGCTATTTTTTGCTCTTTAAAACAAACCACCGCCCACCAAATACGCAGTTCTACCGTCCGGTTCTGGGCAAGCCTGGACTGTTTCAGGCTTTTCTCATCATGACCTTAATGTCTGCCACGAGCCTCTCTCACGGCTGGTCCATGCTTCATGTGGACGCAAACAGAATAATAGGGGATGGAAAGTATGTTTCTGTGGGTTTTTCAGGGAACGCTTGAGGAATGAGGGATTTTTTTTCCACCCAGGAACAAATTAAATCTTGAAACACTAGAATAGGGATAGTTTTTTTTTTTTCCTAGCCATAAATAGACAAAGATGGTGGTCTGTTTCAACTTTCCACTATTGTTTCAAGGAGCTTTGAACTCCCTGCTTTTGCGGTACATACCCAGCTTTAGCATTCAAGTCTTTCTATACTTTCAACTTTCTAGCAATGGAAACAAATGCTCAGAACCTCTGTATCCGTTTTCGTGTGCCACAAGCGTACAGTGCAACAGCTGCTACCTGAGAAATGAGCCTCATGCCCTCTTCTAGCTAATTTGCAGAGGTCCTGTTTGGGCAGAGCTAATTAACTGGACATCCTGATGAATAAGCTTCGGCACACATCAGACCCAGATGCTTTAGTTGACAAAATGGATTCAGATGGAGCAGAGCTGAAACATGGGACAAAAACTAGAGATGGATGCACATTCTTTGCAAAATAATTTAAATATGAAAATGAGTTGAATAAAGTCTAATAGTGTCTGGAAAATTGTAGAAATTGTTATATTAGGTATTTTGTAGGACTGGTTGGGTATATAAACATCCCAAACTCTACTACTGATCTCATTCACTAGACTACCCATCAATCCACCCACATAGCACAGTATGTTATACCGATCACCAAACGCTCTAAGGCTACGTTCACACTGCAGATTGAAGTGACCCAAATCCGATTTTTGTTTTTGCCCATATAAGAGCTGTATCTGATCTTTTCATGCCAGCCTGAACAACAGATCGGATTTTTTCCAATGCGATCTAGGCCACCTGGCTATGAATCAGATACGAATCTGATCTTTTCAAACACGACCCGTGTCTGAACAGCCAGGTCGCATTCATCCAACCTGAAAATCATTAATACTCAACAAAGGTCACTATTCTGCTTCTTTCTACGCAGAACAACAACAATGGCTGATGATAATGCGGAGAGCAGTATTTATGATTAAACATATTGAAAAGATTGAATGTTTAAAGTTTGGAAGGGTCGCTAGATGCGCTCCAGCACTACCATCCATGCTTACTTCCGTAAACACAAAACACGCATGCTTGTGACGCCATTGTGTCCTCTACTGTGAATGCGGGACACTTGCGTTGTATGAATGCAGTTCACAAAGGCGATCACATACAAATCGCATATATTTGGAAATGTGAACGGCAATGCAAAATAAATCAGATTTACAAAAAAAAAAAAAATCAGAATTGAGCATTAAGGCCTGCAGTGTGAACGTAGCCTAATAAACCAAATATTATTTTTTTAAATCTAAGACTGCACTAACGTCCTTTTCCTGCAGGCGTATGGGGGTGATGGCTTCATGCAGCGGATCAAACGCGTGGCCTTTGATGCCAGGTCCACCATCATGGTAAGTTGCTGTTCTGTTCAGGCTCCTACATGATGAGAATCAGGGATAACTTCCTAATCACAGAGCAGCTGTGATTACTATTGCTTCTCCTAGGAAAAGAATGAATTTAGTAGTCGGGGATCAACAATAAACCCTTAAGGTAGAATAGGCGAAATAGTGATTTCTGTTTTTTTTTTTTTTTCCCTTCATGGCTTCAGTTTTGTAATTAAATGCCTCTAAGGCAAGGCTTTTTCAAACCGTTAGTATAGAATAATTTAAGTTTTTTTTTTTTTGTTTATAGATGCTTCGATCTTGGAAAGGCTTTTTGCATCATTTCAGACTCCTACTTTATTGTTTATTAGAGTGACAAAACAGTCTCCCTTTGCAAGAACATTTTTCATAAAGATTTTTCCTCTCATGCATTAGTCTAAAAATTGAAGTGCTCATAAACCATCTATTTGACATTCTTTGTATTCTAACCTGTTTTGATTGAAGATATCTGCTGTTTGGTCTAGAGAGAGACAAAGTCAAAGCAGGTTTATTTCTAAAGGATTACTCTTCCCTTGCAGTGCTACCTTCTGTACGTTCCCTTGTCTGTGTAAATGTAAGCAGTGTAGCTATTATGTAGAGAATATAGAGAACAGGAAAAAAAAACACTGTACGATGGCAAAAACATACAGAAGAGCCAGATTTGCAGGGGGAGAAAAAGGGCACAGGAGGCGGGACTTGCTTCTCCTCCCACATTTGCCATTAGTTGTTGGCTTTTTGGGAATGATGGTTTTTTTTTTCCCCCACCAAGGGTGTGAGAGGAATGTATACACAGCTGTGTTGTTATGCTTTACAGTCCACACACTTATACTTAAGCATGGATTAAAGTTCTTGCTGCTTTGAGCTGCAATTGTATAAGCAGACTATAAAATGAAGAACATTCTGGTAAGATTCAGTAAACAACACTGGACCTTTAACTTTGTTTTATGTCCTCTAGGTCAAACAATATTAATACATGTTTGTTTTAAAGTTAGATAGGAATTTAAAAAATGTTCAAAAAGCAGATGTGTGGGAAGCTGAGTTCGTTTTGGTTCTGTACAGAACATTGGGTTCAGGCAGCAATTTACTCATTCCCCATTTCCTTCCCCATAAACTAGAGACAATTCATTGTCTTAAATGGGCTGAAGAGAATAAAACTTTATAAGTAAAACTGAAATTTAGAATTTCATTCATAAATCTTTGGCACATATTTTGTAGAATGAGTTGGGAAGAACATACTCCAAGCAGCTTTGGGCCTAACATGAATTTTATGCCGTCAGATTCAAAAAGTTAAACTTCTAACTGGAGTCTACCTGGACATTTTAGAAGATGTCATTTTCCCCTCTGCGGATGAGCTTTATGGAGATGCTGATTTTATTTCCCAGCAGGACTTTGCTCCTGCCCTTATTGCCAAGAGTCCTATTACCTGGTGTTTCTGGGCTTGATTGGCCAGAAAACCTGCCTGACCTGAACCCCATAGAGAGTCTAAGGAGTTTTGTCAAGATGAAGAAAACAGACACCAGAACCAATAATGCAGATGAGCCTCTGGCTGCTATTAAAACAAGGTGGGCTTGCTGAACACCTCAGCAGAGCTCCAGGCTGATTAACTCAGTGCCTCATTGTACTGATGTAGGAATTCATGCAAAAGAGGACCTGATTTGGTGCAGACCGCTTCTGCAGCATATAAGCTTGTATATGTTGACTGATATGTACCTTTCTTCCTTAAAGGGATTGGAGGGAAATAGTGACTGAACTGTTGACAAGGAAAATTATAAATGACAGTTTATTTAAACACTCCTTATTGTAGATGAAATGATAGATTGAGGTGTAAAAAAAACAAAATATTCAAGGTCATTATAGAGGCTAAGTGCAATTATTTAGCTGACATTGGTGCTTCAACAATCAAGTCTATTTATAATTAAAATATATGTCCTTTCAATAAATGATTGCGTTGTTTTGAGTTCATGAAGTTATTTACGGAGTTCAATTATTTCTTTTAATTTACATATATCCATTAAAGGTTGAATAAATAGATAAAAAGATTAAGTTTAATTTATTCAATGGGGCTCTGTGACTTCCTGAGCTGCTAGTAGATCTTATGTCCTTCAGCCTGAACATCCTATGGATGTTTCAGCTCATTATTTTGTTCATATAAGCTCAAAATTACTGCAACTAAAATAATCTCATTTAACGAAACTGTAAATATTAAGAAAGCATTTAACCCTGGTTTACACATTGTAACATTCAATTCATGGATTACCTAAAGAAAAAATGTATGCCTTATTTTACACCACAGCATATAAAGTTTTAGCCTTGTCTAAACCTAAAACTGTTTTTTTTAGTTTACTCTTACCCTCTCCCTATTGAAAGCGATTCAAGTTCTTTAATCTCTAAGAATAACCAGCTTGGTGCAGATTCCCCCCTTTAAAACTCCCTTGTCAGACTTTGTAGCCCTAAAGGTAAGTGCATGAAAAAACATCCCTACCCTGTGGACCCCTGTGTGTCCTTCGAGTCCTTAACCATGTTAATATGAATTACACAAAAAAGGAGCGTCTTTACATAAAGAGCTATATTTTTTTTTACATTACTTTATTAAAATATTTGGAACAGAATGAGAATATCGGTTGAAAAAACGTATTTCTTTTTTTGTCATTTGGTTGCAAATTATGTGTTTTTTTCCCCCATCATATTTAACAAGCCTTCAAATTCCTTTAAAGAAATCCATTCAGTTTTAAAGTTTGTTTTTATTTTTTCATAACCTAAAATTAGAAACAAGTTGATGACTGTATTATATATTGCTAAGCATTGATGTTATTTATTTTAGAAGGGTTGTGAAGTTTAAATTAGTTGGACCAGGGTCAGAACGTGGCTGTTTGGGGAAAATCTACTATTATGAGAATACAATTATGTGTTTTTGTAGTTCTTATGGATAGAGTATGTAACAACTCTTTTTGGCTTTCCTTATGAGCAACACGGTAGTAATATGAGTGAAAGGCTTGAGATGAGAAGAAAAGGGAATAAATGAATCTTAACCTACTGATATCTCTCTAAATAAGTGAGCTGTGAGCATCAGAATGACCAGAATAGACCAGAAATGGTTAATAGACATCACACTGACGCCAGAGAGCTCTCCTAAATGGATCTCTGACAGGATCATGAGGAAGCAACAACATTAGGTGCAGTGAGTCATATCCAGAAGAGTTAGCATAATGTAACCAATCCTTACCTCATCTACTGTCTCATTGCTCTGTCAAATTACCAGCACTTTTCCCTGGGTCATAACCGGAGGAAACCTGAATTATTTCCTTCCCAATTCTCATGTGTAGTCATAATCCTTCACCAAATGCTGCCTTCCAGACATTTGTTATATCTGTAATATTGTCGTCACATGACGTATGTAGAAACAGACCTAAAACTCTTGCCAGCTGACCTCTGTGCTGCTGTTTCAATTGGAAGGAAGAAATTTCACTTGACTGCATTAGTATGGAACTAGACAAAATGCATCAAAGGGAAGAGAGTGAGCTTAGAATATAAAGACATACTTTAATTAGGGGCAAGGAGAAGATATCTTATCGTGTAGAGATCTGCAGAGATTTTAAGTCATGACCCTATTTAGAGTTGCAAATTATAATATGCAGGGTGTTCCAATTAAGAAAAGTAGGGTACAATTTCACTTAGGCATGAAGTGTGCTTAAGTTATCCCATGGGACACAAAAACATGCAGTTCAGCCCAGCATTCTTCAAAAATATATGATCAATTTTACATAAAGTTGAAATTTTTATTTTACATGTAATTAAGAAAAGAAGCAAGTGTAATGTTAAGCCTAATTGGTTCATGTATATTCCTGCATTTAAGTTGACCAGCATTCATCATTTTTCCACTGATATTTTAATTATTTGACAATGAGTGATCTTTAGGCTGTAAATCCTCTGTGCCAACCCCCTAATTTTTTGGTCCCCCCACAGATTAATACAGGGCTCCAAAACCTCAATTCTGGAGTAATACCTTCTTAAGGTTAAAGATTTTCTTAAACCTAATTATGTCAAAGGTATCAATCCCCCCAATTTTCAAAACATCTGTTTATTGTAGAGGAGTAACTAACCACTAGCATTAGCTAGGGTGGTCAAATATATTGATAATCAAAGCTACACTGGAATGATATAGAATAGAATAAGAAATCCCTTTATTGATCCACACTGCGGGAATTGTGGATCAATAAAGGGATTTCTTATTCTATTCTATATCATTCCAGTGT